CCCCCCCACCGCCCTGGTTCGCGGCTGTTTCCAGTCTTTCTCCTCCACACACAGCACAGGCCGCTCTCTTCGCGGGGGGGAGGCGCTGAGGAGGGTGTGAGGCCGGCCCCACCCCCCAAAGTTTTGGAATTCCTCCCCTGGGGAGCGATTTCCTTCTCTCGTTACCTTCCTCCAGAGGGCGAAGAACTGTTGGTTTCTTTTGGAGAGCGATGGAGCCGCGGAGGGGCCGAGCGCGCCGCCTGCGCCTCACCTGCCACCCCGGCTGGACCTCTTCTTGAGCACTTCTGTCGGCCGAGCTGAGCCCTGCCCTGGGGGAGCCAGTCAGGGCCAGGCGCTGCTCTTTTTCATCCAGGACCGCGTCTCCAACTTCTGCTCCTCCTCCTCCTCCTCAGCAGTGCCACCACAGTTGCTTTGGGGTCCTCCGTCGCAGACATCCTCCCCCCAGGCTGCCTCCCGGTTTGGAGCCAAACGAGCCCCTGGATCGGAAGTACCCCTACAGAGGTTGTCCTGGAGCCCTGCCGCTGCACCTCTCTGAGAGAGAAGCCCGTTTCCCCCCCTTCCCCAAGTTTCCTGGATGTGATGGAACTCATGTTTGCCGAGTGGGAGGACGGGGAGAGGTTTTCCTTCGAGGACTCCGACCGCTTTGAGGAAGACTCTCTTTGCTCCTTCATCTCGGAGGCCGAGAGCCTGTGTCAGAACTGGAGAGGATGGCGGAAGCAATCCGCGGGACCCAACTCCCCCACTGTCAAAATGAAAGGTGAGCCTGCCGGAGTTTGGGATGCCTCTTAGAGGTTGCCTCTTAGAGGAGGTGGTAGGTATATAGCAGTGGTGGTGAACCTATGGCACGGGTGCCAGAGGTGGCACTCAGAGCCCTCTCTGTGGGCACGCGTGCCATTGCCCCAGCCAGGCCCAGACCATCATTAAAGGGTCGAATTCTCTGCCAAATAATTTTATGGAAATGACAGCATTTGAGATTGCTTTCCTTACTTTGTTTGGATCATCTTAAGTTAACGTATGAGTTGTTTTTGCTAAAGTAAAACCTCCGTATTCAGGTTAAATTGCCGTGTTGGCACTTTGCGATAAATAAGTGGGTTTTGGGTTGCAGTTTGGGCACTCGGTCTCTAAACGGTTCGCCATCACTGGTATATAGGAAGGGTTGCACAAAGCCAGTGGATGTGTGTTACAGACAGGACAGTTTAAATGAATGATTTATTTGTTGGAACACTTTCTTACTGCATTCACATGCCTTGTAATAGGATTTGGGGGCCAGGTATTAGGACTAAATGGGGTGTGTTGTTCAATGGGAGAATTTATGATGAGCTTTTGGCAGCACTTTGATAGGTGCTTTCCTGGAAGAGCGCTCTGTAGAAGTTGCTGGGGCTTACGCCCGAATAAGTAGATGTAGGACTGCAACTTGGTGTCTTTCGTTAAGGTGCTCTGTAAAGGTTATTCCCCACTCCCCAAAACTCAGTTGTCCGTGAATCCTGTAAGCTGCTGCCTCCTCTCCAGTGTGCCTTTTTTTTGCTCTTCAATTGGTATGTTATTGCCTGCAGCAGTCTCCTAGCGTTCATTGCTGAACAAGAATGTATAGACCTGTTACGGTGGAACAGGCAAATGACCTAGTTGCCTGCCTAATCGGGATTATACCTTGCCCTCGTGACAGTTACAGCCTACTATGTAATACAAAATTCTTAGACTGAGTGATGATGGCTTCTTTTTAATTGCTGATTTTCTTAAAACTGAACTATCACCACCCACCCACTGAACTTGAGAGGAAACAAAACTCCTTGCCCATCACTGGAACGCTTTTGCTGTGCTCAGAGCTGTTGGTGGAACACTTGCTGGAGCAAAATGCACATCTAACATATTGACCACTACACAGACAAATAAGATGTGTTACATGAACATTTTAAAGGTAGATCAAGCTGGGATGCCGTGTGAGTCTGTCTGTAGCAACAGAAAAGAGCAAGAGTCCAGTAGCACCTTAAAGACTAACAAAATATGTGGCAGGGGAGGAGCTTTTGTGAGTCACTGCTCACTGTAAAACATCAGTTTAGAGAAATTTGATTCCCTTTTTCAACACGTGGTCGAACTCTCTTCTGAGGTTGGTCATACATCCAGCTGTGTCACTATCCCTTGGAGTTGTTTAGCAGTGGCATCTGGCAGTGGGCAAACATTCTTAAGTTGGAAAAGGGAAAGGTTGTGAATGTGGTGTGGCTGTGGTTGGTTAAAAAATAAAACGGAGCCCTTTCTTTGTATTGTCTACCAGTGTGAAGCAGTCCAAGGCTCAGTGATCAAGATGGCCTTAACTTTATCAGAAGCAGTAGAGAATTCTTGCTTTCTCTAGCAAAGCTTTGTGGTTTATCTTGTAGCTTGTGTTACCAACATTACATCAATGTGTAGATGCAAACATTTCGGGGGGGGGGGGAGCAATGGCAAACCTATGTTCACTCCAGGTTTGTGGTTAGGTGATGTCTTATACCACAGACTAAAATGTCACATGTAGACCCAGGTTCTGCTTCAGCTAGTAGGTTTTAGAAGCTGAGTCTTATTTAGAAAGGGTAGTATTTTACATGGAGTCAGAGCCTCCTTTCTTCTACATGAGTGATGCTAGGATTTGGAGATGAAGACATGGTTTCCCCTGCTGGCTGGGAAAGGCAAAAATGGCACATAAGTGTTCATGAAATGAAGATTTCATTGATTTCCCTGACTCTTCCAAGAAGTTCAGGGTGGCCAAAGTATAGATTACCACATGTAATCATCGCAGTCTTGAGAGAGGCGTTGGACCAAGTGTGCGACTGATTAAAAGACTGAGGGGAACTGACCCCTGGTCTTACTGAGGAAGGTGCATGCTGAAGGAAGCCGAAGGAAGGTGCTTTGCATGTCCTAAAACATATGCTTGCGCTAAATGCTGCCAGTAGCTCCAGCTTCAGTTCTGCTCCTTCTTTTGCGTAGCTGTGTCAGGACACTTGTATTTTGAGACCGTGTTGTGTGAAGTGCCCCTAAAGAGAGAGAGTGGAGAAATCATTAAGGCAGGGTGTCAAACATGTGGCCCGTGGGCCGGAACCAGCCCATTCAGGGCTCTTATGCGGTCCTCAGGCAACTGGTTACCTTTATTGCCAGATGACAGAGGCTGGGCATTGTGTCCCAGTATCCCGTCCCAGTATCCCGTCCCAGTGCTGATGTGTAAGAAGCAGTGGAAGCGGAAGGGCGGGCGCCAGGGAGAGACTGTAAGGAAATACCATAAGAGTGTTAATTTTTTTTAAGCATGTTTGTATTTTGAGTAAAAAATAATATTGTTAGTTGAGTTTGCTTGTGTATAAAAGTTATATCTCCAGTACCTGACATTATATTTTATGGCACACATGGCCCAGCCCGACAAAGTGACATGTATGTCATGTCCGGCCCTTGTAACTAATGAGTTTGACATTAAGGTTTTTGTTAAGCTCGTGAGGGAACTGAAACGGGATTCCCCATAATCGTAGAATTCTCACTAGAGATTCTGAAGCGGGGGGGACGGGGACTGGGGTCTCTTGTATGCATCTGTGTGCTCCCCCAGCTCTGAAAAAGCAAACTCTGAACCATGTGACCTTTCCAGTGGAACCTCAGTTTTTTCTGCTTAATGAATGGTGGCACTTGTCCAGAACTATATTTTAACTTCCTTTGTTTCTCAGCGTAGCATTTCTTGTGGTTACAAATGCGGGTGAGGAATGAGGTGGGAAGGAAACGAGCTGGCAAGCTTGAATGGAATCTGGTCCACTCTTTGGGGATATTTGAGGTTGGGTAGTAAAATGTGTCAGTGGTGAGGTAAAGCAGCAGCAGTATCACAACTGGATACCTCACAACTCCTTTTCATTTTATGTCCTGCCGTTTCTAGGATTCATAGCAGATTGTCCAGTATTATGACAGACTCTTCTAAAATTACAGGAAAGCTTTAAAAATTGCATAGCTTTTCTGTTTAACTGTTGGTTTCAGTTACCACACTATCAAAACTGACCGTGGGATGTGCTGAAAGAGGACGCAGGATCCACGTTCAGGACAAAGCAATCCAGTGTCCAGCGGTGTATGTGAATATGCTGATCTCCGTGTTAGCATTTTAGGTGTTGAACCTGGGAAGGGCGTGAATTCAATATGTCGCTTTTGCAGTAATATGCAACAGAGTTGTTAATGAATCAGGGCACGGATTCGTTTGCAAATAAAGGTTGGTGACAGGAGTGAAGATTACATTTAAAAGCGTAATTGAAAGAGTAAGTTATTTTTCATCCCTGCACATTTAATCTTAGCCGTAAGGTGCAGCAGGTATTTTGGGTGTAGCTGTGTGTTTTGGCTAAATAAGAGAGACAGACAGACAGACTGACTGACTGAAGAAATATTCTTCTAAATATGTTGTGTCAAATGCTGTCAGACTAAAATGGTTAGACTCCTTTGTTTTTGTTGATGTACAAACATCTTATGAAATGGTTGTATGCGTCCTTCTGAACATACTGGCAGGCATATGTGGAAGCCCCCAATGTCCATATTTGTACAGAAGTCAGTTTCCAGTCCTGGAAAGCGACTCTGTAAACTTGTGTTTAGTGTGCTGGAGGTTGACTTGCCTAGTTGTGTCCCGGTTTTCTCTCTGCTCCTTCATTATTTGCTGTGGCTGAGTTTGCCAGCACCGTGGCAGAATGAAGGCCCCCACCCTTGTTGGTATTAGAAGCAATTTCCCCCCTCCTGCCATTTCTCTTCCCTCCCCATACAGAATATGTAGGCCTTTGGCACATTCTGAGATGGGAAGCAAGATGGATAGTTTTTGAACAGTCCCAGAGACTCAGTTTACCTCTTGCAGTGGAAAGGAAGCTTTCCCCCCTCCCCACCCCCACTGTAGTCAGTAACCATTTAGTATTTTGTACAGCCAGTGGTCTTCTAGAGATTATGGTTTTAGAGTAGAGGAGCTGCAGTTTTGATTCACTATACTTTTTCAAGCAGTCTAAAGAAATATGGAGAAGACCCTGATGCTGGGAAAGATTGAAGGTCAAAGAAGACGGGGACGGCAAAGGATGAGATGGTTAGACAGTGTCAAAGATGCATCTAGAGATGTAAAATTTCCGGAAATTTTGAAGCTCGGAAAAAAACCCGTTTCCCCCCAATTTTTTCCGGAAAAAAACAGAAATTTTTGGAAAAATTGAAAAAAATGCTACATTAGCATTTTGTCTTTTCTAGATTGAACGTCATTCTGTTACTTTAGGAACATAAAATATGACTATGGACATTTTTACTTGGCATGAAATTATCACAACTAGCATATTACAAATATAGTGTATCCAAACAGTTATTACAAACAGAATACCCACCCACGTGCAAAAACAAAACTGAAACCTTTTTCTTTTCTCATGACAATAGCACCTCCTAAAGGAAGAAATGCATCTTGTTCTTGCATTGGAGAGTTCAGTTTGTAACCTAGGACTTGCTTGTCCTCAGTGCACAGAAATTAGATCAATCTGATACCATATATCTCTAGATGAAACAAACATGAAATTAAGCAAACTTCAGAGGATGGCGGAAGACAGGAGGACCTGGCGGGATCTGGTCCATGGGGTCGCAAAGAGTCGGACTCGACTGTGCGACTGAACAACCACCACAACAAAGAAAGATAACTTTATTCTACCAGAAACATGGACTAACAAGCAGTAGGGCAAATACAGATGAAGTCTCAACATGTAGCCAGGGTGAATCCCATAAAGCTTGCAACCAAGTTGAGAAATTTCCTATTGGATG